GTATGTAATGTATGGTGTGTGCTTGCATATGTAAGGACTATTGTGTGTGTGATCATGTGGATATATACTTATATTTTGTGTACATGAATGCTTTTATTTCAGTATATGTGATAAGTTTATGTGGTCTATTTTAATGCTTTTGTTGTTGTTTGTGAGGCACTTTGAGTTGCATGTATGTTGGAAAAGTGCTGTACAAATAAAGTTTATTATTATTATTATTAGTACACCACTGTGCTTAAACCCCTCATAAAAGGTATTTTTGCATAATAGGGCTCATTTAATCCCCATTTTAAGTGCCTTTTAGTTGCTAAAATAATCTTTTGCAGGTACGGTGCTAAAACTCTAGTGGTGGATGGCTGCTTCTCACTCAGGGCTGTCTATGCTATTGAGGGAGAGGTTGTCACTACATGATTTGTATAATGATATTTAAGAGAGATTGTCAATCAAAGTCTTTCTACAGTCTGTTTTTATAAAGTGTGTGATTATAAAAAAAATGAATTAACTAATTTTTACTATTAGTGGCTGGCTATATTTACACACTTTTACAACACCGCTGTGTTTAAACACCTCATAAAAGTGATTTTTGCATAATAAGTCTCCTTTAATCTCAATTTTAAGTGTAATAAGCACTATAGAAAAAAACTAAACTATGAAACAGAGCAGCTTTCACACACAACTTCAACACAGTAAGAAAATGACACCTCATTAGTGTCTTAGAAAATGACACTTCCAACAAAAGCTATCAATATCCGCTCTAGCAAAACCTCACTGCATCAGCCTGCTCTAATCTTCCTGTCTACCATACGCAAGACAATTGTGTGACAAACAGTGATGTAAAAGCGATTAAATGTATTCTAGTGAAACATTTAAGTCAATGTTAAGCGTTCTGGGGACACCGAGAGAGGGTGCAATGAAAAACAAGAGCACGAGTGCTTTATTGAGACAGATGTGAGCGAAAGAGCCAGGAAAATCCCAAAGGCCTTTCTGTCTGTCACTAAAACACCTGAGTAATGGGCTGAGAAGAACCAGTCCAAACATCCCTCTCCCTCTCTAGCTTCTTGGAAAGACAACAACATTATTCACACAAACTAATACAATCATCGCCCGACAGCCTTGACCACTACTGAGACTCCCTGTGCATGCTAATGGAGGTACGGGTAGACAAACCCCACGGCAGCGACGCCAACCCCTCCAGGTCTGCAGACTGGCATCAGTGAGCCAGGGAAAGCCCGACACATCTGCGGTCGGCTCAGATACCCGGAGTCTTTTAGAAGCTGATAACAATTATAACCCGCTGGCATACATCCATCCATCCATCCATCCATCTTTTCCTGCAAAGGGTGTGCCAGCTGGCGAGGGCTAAGACACTCGCACACATACTAACTACAGTACACACAAACTCACTGATGGCTAGATAAGATGCAGGTCAGTGTGAACACACATGAGGGTATGTGCTATTTTATTTTGCAGTGTATAGGACAGCTGTTCAGTGGCAAACAAACATCTTAAATTGACACTAGCTGCAGATGCTTTATGATTATATGCTGGCTTACAAACTAAAACATCCATTTATCCGTTTATTTGCAACAATAAATTAAAATAAATCTGTACATTTCTTTAAAAAAAATAAATGTTTGGATATTTGAAATATATATATATATATATATATATATATATATATATATATATATATATATATATATATATATATATATATATATATATATATATATATATATATATATATATATACACACACACACACACACACACACACACACACACACACACACACACACACACACACACATGCCACTTTATTAGGTACTCCTGTCCAACTGCAAATGCAAATTTCAGCCAATCACATGGCATCAGAATGGGTAAGAAAGGATATTTAAGTGACTTTGAACGTGGTATGGTTGTTGCTAAAAGACAGGCTGGTCTGAGTATTTTAGAAACTGCTGAAAATATCCAGTGAGCATCAATTCTGTGGGCACAAATGCCTTGTTAATGCCAGAGGTCAGTGGAGAATGGCCAGACTGGTTCGAGCTAATAGAAAGACAGTAGTAACCAGGGCTGGACTGGGGCAAAAAAATCGGCCCTGGCATTTTGGGCCAGAGCGGCCCACTAAATTGAATCAAAATGCTATCTCTCTATGCACGTCCAATATTTTTATCAACTCATATTCTATAAAACACAAAAGCCATATATATGAAATAAATAAATACAAACTTTAATCTCAATTTAATTTCTGTATACTGTCCATAAAGATATTTGTTGAGTTCTAAAAAATACACTATTCGTTCATTTATTTTTCTTCGCATAAGTCCCTTATTTATCAGGGGTTGCCACAGTGGAATGAACTGCCAACTATTCCAGCATGTTTTATGCAGCAGATGCCTTTCCAGCCACAACCCAATATTGGAAATCATCCATACACACTCATTCACACACACTCATACACTACAGCCAATTTAGCTTATTCAATACACAATTCACTCAGCCTGTATTCAATAATAAACATAACAAAAACTGCCTGCTAATGCATGGCTAAATCTTCAAAGGGAACAGTGTTACATTTTATCCTCTTTCACCTCATCCTGCTGTTTCACTATCTAAACAATGAAAACATAATATAAGTCAAATTTGTTTCATTTTGATATTATGATTAACAGACACCAAACAGCCTCGTGTAGCTGCATATTTATATGAGCATCATCTTCACTCTGCATATTTATAACAAAACAGGGCTTAAATATAACTGCCTCCTTTCATTTCCATTGAAAAGAACAAGCTTTACCCTGTCTCTTTTGCAGAATATCAGTTTTAATAATCAATAATGGCCATTATAACAGAATAACGTACATTAAATTTAAACGATAAAGGTAAGCAATCAGTCAATGTGCAGAATCAGTGTGTGTGGTTACATAAATTAATATATTAGCTTATCTTTGCACTCAGCCAAAACAGTTAACTGAGAACAAGTGATTCAAAAGTCATAAGAATTGTTAGATAGAGACAACAAGATGAATTCAATATCACGTTTACCAACTATAGTGAGATGAGATCATCCAGCAGATGAACTGTCTGACATGCACTATACTCTCACCTGGGGTTTATGCTCACCCGCTGAACTACTGGCTGAAGGTCTGGGCAGAGAGTGTGTGGTCACGTGATTTGCGCTTTTAGCCGTGAACGAGAATGAACAGAACACTTTTCAGAATCGCTAAATGAAACGCCGGTGTATTTCCCGCGATTTCTCTGCGCCTCCCTTGCATTTCTTCTCTCTGACTCTCGACTATTTTGACAAAAACACACAGACGACGCACGCTCACACGGAGTCCAAAACAGGAGTTTGTGATTGGGCCAGACCAATGTCAATACAGAAAAGAGCCAATGGGCTGCAGAGTGTTACATGGGCCGGCCCGGTCTGTCCGGGAAAAAATGCATCTTACTTTCAGAGAGTCACAGATCACAGCAGCGTCAATTAATAAGGCATAAAAAAACGATAGGCTGCTAAGCCTTTTATGGGCCGATCAGATCATAAGACGATGATCATCCCGGCCCAAAAAGTACGTCGGCCCACCGGGAAAGTGCCCGGTCCGCCAGATGGCCAGTCCGCCCCTGGTAGTAACTCAAATAACCACTCGCTACAACTGAGGTATGCAGAAGAGCATCTCTGAACACACAACACGTCAAACCTTGAGGCAGATGGGCTACAGCAACAGAAGATCACACCGGGTGCCACTCCTGTCAGCTAAGAACAGGAAACTGAGGCTACAATTCGCACAGGCTCACCAAAATTGGACAATAGAAGTTTCCAAAAATGTTGCCTGGTCTGATGAGTCTCGATTTTTGCTGCTACATTTGGATGGTAGGGTCAGAACTTGGCGTCAACACCATGAAAGCATGGATCCATCCTGCCTTGCATCAACGGTTCAGGCTGGTGGTGGTGCTATAATGGTGTGAGGGGTATTTTCTTTGGGCCATTAGAAACAACTGAGTATTATGTCAAAAGCACAGCCTACCCGAGTGTTGTTGCTGACCATATTCATCCCTTTATGACCACAGTGTACCCCATCTTCTGATGGCTACTTCCAGCAGGGAAATAGGCCATCATGTCGCGAACTCAAACTGGTTTCTTAAACATGACAATGAGTTCACTGTTCTTGAATGGCCTCCACAGTCACCATATCTCAATCCAATATAGCACCTTGTGCTGGAATGAAAGATTTGCATCATGGATGTGCAGCCGACAAATCCGCAGAAACTGTGTGATGCTATCATGTCAATATGGATCAAAATCTCTGCAGAATATTTCCAGTACCCTGATGAATCTATGGGGATTAAGGCATTTCTGAAGGCAAAAGGGGTCCCAACCTGGTACTAAGTAAGGTGTACCCAATAAAGTGGCGGTGAGTATATCTATATACTTTTATATATATATTTTTTAAATATATATATATATATATATATATATATATATATATATATATATATATATATATATATATATATATATATATATATATATATAATAAAATTTGTTATTATAAAATTGAATATATATATAAATAAATTTCATTTAGGATTATATACATGTGGTATACACAGTAAATCTTTTTTTTGTATTTTTCTGTTTATGCATATGAACGTCAAAAAATGAAAACAAAAACAATGAAAAAATATTTATGTAATTACACACTTGTAATACAAAATGTTAAAAAAAAACATAAATGCATTTATGTGGGTGAAAATAAATATTACAAATTTGATAATTATATACATAAGCTATATATAAATAAGAATATAAGCTATATATGAGTATGCGTGTGCAGTTATGTAACATAAATATGCATGTATTTATATGTAATATATTAATTTATATTAAACTTAATACGACTTTATGTAAATTGTTTATTTCTATAAAGCGCACTCATAAAACACTAAATATGTATAAACATAACTCCCATAAATATATTAAAACAGGTTGCTCTTACCTCTAGAGCTGTGGCTCGCTTTTTCAGAAAGTTTTCTATATTCCGTGCTGCTGTTTCCACAAGCTGAACAGCGTTATTTGATCGCACAGTGAAAGACTTCTGATTATCCATAAAGATCTGCAATAACGGAGAGGAAAAGACACTCATTAGGGGCTCTCCTAATGAACTAACGAGATGACGGCTTACTGGTAATGATTGTTTTGATAATTAAGCATGCTTTTATTGAGGCTTAACTCTCACTCACAATTTGCTTGTGTAAATACACATCAAATCCACATTTATCACTATGCTCAGGGGTGTGTATGTGTGTGTACAGGTTTACAGGGACACAAAGTTGTATATTTTCATGGTTATGACAATGTACTCTACTGTGTCTCGTGTCTCTGTAATTAATAAAAAGTGCTTAAAATCATACTGAAGGGGGACTTTTAACAATCAAATTTTGCCATAGGTTTCCTGTGAGGGTTAGGTTTGGGGTGGCGAAGGGTCATGTAATGTGCGTTTTCTGCTGAATAAAATACAATATGCCAAGAGAATGTCCCCATAAACCATGTATACAAGTATTTGTGTGTGTGAGACTGTGTGCATGTGAGAAGTTTTAGACCTCTGACCTGTCTCAGATTATCTCCAGCACTGGCTGTGTCTGCTAATGAAACCAGCTCTTGCTGCAGCTGATCTACCCACTCTTTTATCCTGTAAACACAAACACTCTTATTAGTTATGGAAATAAATTAACAGATAGACAGACGGATGGACGGACAGACAGATGGATAGTCAGATCTGTATGCATACTTTTGTGGTCAAAAAATGTGATAATTAATTCTGTATGGAGTAACTAAGTCATAACCATAAAAAGGGCAAAACAAGCGAGTCATATCACAGTCGAGTAAATGGCAGGTGCATAAAATAGTGCCACAAATAAAAATTAATAGTTACTTAGCAAACCAAAGTAAGTACTCCACATGAATAACCTAGAGAAAATAAAACTGTTCTTCAGTATAAACACACCACAATTCAAATACACTTTAACACAAAAATGGTCTTTATTTCATGAGGTTTTGTAAATGTTGGGGGCTTTAATTAGTTCATGTAGCCTTGATGACTGGAACTAAATATATAATAAATTAATAAAATATACATATTTATGTATGTATATACATACATACACACACACACACACACACACACACACACACACACACACACACACACACACACACACACACACACACACACACACATATATATATATATATATACACATATATATATATATATATATATATATATATATATATATATATATATATATATATATATATATATATATATATATATATATATATATATATATATATATATATATATATATATATATATATATATATATATATATATATATATATAAACCACAAGGATAAATAATAAAAAGAAAAAATAACAGTAAGTTGCACAAACTTCAGAATGTAAAAACCCAAAAGTGAAAAAAGTGTAAAGGAACTCATCAACCCTTTAGAAATCGTGAGCTGATAATTACTCGTTCAACACACTCACTTTTTTTTCCAGTGACTCTGCACTCTGGTTTTATAACATCTGATCAATATTAATTATTAATGCTTCTGTACTAACAAGTTTTGCTGAAAGCATTCTTACCTCCTGATGTTCACTGAAATCCTTATAAACAATGGGATATAAAAAGGCCACAGTTAATTCATGGGCCATAAGGATGAAGTCACGTGGCCTCTGTGATGATCACAGATCTAAAATTACACAAACTGTGATGTGGAATTCAGGAGGTGTGTGTGTAAAGTGTGAAGTCTATCAGAGAACTAGAGAGATTTCTTGAAGACCTGTGTATTTCTGATGGGGAAAGCAGGAAACAAACTAACACTAATTTCACACTCGTCTAGCACTAACATATGTGTTTTATATACCTTTTATTATTATAAAAAAAAGAAAGTAGTGAAATGTTATAACATGGCCCATAGGTGGGCATATTGTAACATCTGAAGGGCATGTTATGTTAATATGACAGGTTAAAACACAAAAATAAAGTCAAACTAAAGTATTTTCTCAATAAAGTAAAATGTACTTTTCTTATTGATCTCAACGAACAGCTACACAGCTAATGTCATAGAATAACATAACTCTAATTATAGCAGGGCACATTATAACAGTGTTAAAAAAGTAACCATCTGCACAACTAAGATTTAAAGCAGGTTAGCATTTCCTTCTCTTTTAAAAGTACTGTTTTAAACAATGCTAACAACATACCTAGCATATCGTTATGAAAACGTTCGCATGTTTGTAATTTTCAAATCCTTTACTAACACATCAACACAGCATTATTGCCAGCATATTTTTAACATATGTTAACATGTTGCTTTAACAGAGTTGATGGCAGAAGTTGCTAGTACAGTATATCTTTTGAAATGTTAGAATTACTTATGTTTCCTAAGGTACCTTTTTTACAGTCCTGATAATGTAGATTTTTTATTTAGCTTAACATCAAAACTTAAGTAAACAGCGCTATTCTGCCTAGCCTGCTTTACTGAGGTAGAGTTGGTTTTAAATTCACTTTGGTTCATTCTTGAACAATGACAACCTGTGATGCGCTCCCTATATTGTTTACCGTGCCACTCTGTTTGCTTACTGCATAACTGAAAAAGTGTTAGATACAGTTTTTTTTATTGAGAACTGTAGTATTATAAAGTACTATAAAGTTTTCTAACTGATAAATTGCATGATCTTGTGGGTCTCTGTCATCTTTAATGTGCGTGTTTTTAGACGGCGTGGCTTTGTACGACATGAGAGAGATTGCATTTGAAAAATACTATGCTAACCGGTAAGCATTTAGGCAGATCCCCTACTGCACCTTTAACTCTCCAATATTGCCATCAAGGTAATGGCACATTTAACCATACTAGCACATTCTACCATACATTTACAACAATGTTCACTTTCTTACACAGACTGATTATTCACTTTGTGAAATTCATGTATGAATTTAGTTTTCCTGTAGGTCTATGCTTTTGTTTTGTTTTTTTTTTTACTCAAAATGACAACTGACTTTACAGCAAGAACCACAGTGTAAAAAATGTAATGACAAAAAGTCAAAGCAACAAACATTTTTGTGTTGCTTTAACTTATTTTAAACAAGTTTAGTTTAACAATTTTTTTAGGTGGGCGAAGCAGTGGTTAGGTCGCCTCACAGCAAGAAGGTCGCTGGGTCGCTGGTTCGAGCCTCGGCTTAGTTGGCATTTCTGTGTGGAGTTTGCATGTTCTCCCTGCGTTCGTGTGGGTTTCCTCCGGGTGCTCCAGTTTCTCCCACAGTCCAAAGACATGCGGTACAGGTGAATTGAATAGGCTAAATTGTTCGTAGTGTATGAGTGTGTGTGTGGATGTTTGTGTGGATGTTTCCCAGAGATTGGTTGCGGCTGGAAGGGCATCAGCTGCGTAAAACTTGCTGGATAAGTTGGCTGTTCATTTACGCTGTGGCGACCCCAGATTAATAAAGGGACTAAGCCGACAAGAAAATGAATGAATGAATATTTGTTTAGGTTTAGTCAGTTTGATTGATCTAGCCTAAGTTAAGATGACTAAAAGTTTATTTCATCTGCCAAAAAATTAAGGCAGCAGCTGTCGGTGACAGTTTCTAGCCGATGAAAGTAAATTTCTTCTTTTTCCTGTTTTACAGTGTTCGACAACAAAGTTTTGGTGCGTTACTGCCACCTCTGGTGAAACTTGCTTGATGGAAAGATGACTGAGAGAGAGGATTTATATCTGAAGCAGAGGCCATTCCTTGTGGCCATACCTCGATAAGTACATGTTAAGACGTAATAATTTCTGATGCTGTGCTGTCATTCGCTGTGCTCAAAAAATAAAAATACTTACTATATATTTATATATATATATATATATATATATATAAATATATAGTAAGTATTTTTATTTTTTGTATTTTTATTTTTATATATATATATATATTTATATACACACACACACACACACATACATACACAAAAGTATTTTTATTTTTTGAGCACACTTATTACTTACCAAAATATTTCTCTTTACTATAAATAACTAAAGTATTTTATAGGGGTGTCACGATTTCGATTTTTAATCAAAATCGATCGAAATTTATGCTCAATTTCGATTATCGAATCAAAAAATAGAATCGTCGATGCTGCCACGCCCCCATGTCATGTCAGCTTGGCTTGCCAAGCGGGGAAAATAACAGGCTTGTTGAAGTGCTTGTTAAACGGCAGACGCAGGAGACCTGTTGACAGAACTTAAACCCTCTCCTCTTTCAATGAAGTCGCCGGTGTGTAAGCATTTTGGATTTCCAGTAAGTTATGTTGACAACGTTCGTGTTGTCGACAAAAAAAAACACAGTTTTGCAAGCTCTGCTATGTACGTATTATGTACGGTTCGTCCGATAGACAACATCGGCATCACGATCCTCTGCCCGCCCACGTTGCAAATCTGCTCGCGAAAAGTACACACTCAGGCCCGGTTTACACTGTCTTTGTTTTTAAATGGCATTTTAGAACGACAACGATTTGACATCCACAGTGGCGTGTAGCATTTCTGAGCAGCCCTCCTTCCTCTCTACCTCTGAAAATGCACATCACGTGACCACACAGACGCATACACAGCCATGCGCTCGAGACAGCAGGTCCAGGCAGTCAGAGGACTGCTTCAATCTTTTACTCACTTGTACTTAGTCATTTTAGCGAACACCTCAGATACTGTTGGCTGGTTCCTGTTGGTTGTGCGTCTTTTTTACCGACGCCATTATAACGACACAGATCACTGCCTATTCACGAGTCCCGCAGAAAAAGTGATTGACAGGTGGTAATTATGTCTGTATCTTGCCTTTATTCATTTACTGTATGATTTGTTTATGGGTAAAACAAAGATCATGCAGGTCAGGTAGTTTAAACGGTAGGCTACAAATAATTAATTGGTCATTAATTAATTATTCATAATCGAAAATCGAATCGTGCCTTTAGAATCGAAAATGTAATCGAATCGAGGATTTGGAGGATCGTGACACCCTTAGTATTTTAAATGTTTTACACCTGGTTTTATTGGATTTTTTGTTTTAGCTATATACTACTTTGTGTTTCTGTTTAGTACAGCATATTATTTACAGTAAATGACTGAACAGAACTATTATGCCTCATATGTTTCATTGACAGTTTTATTGATCACTAACATATGATTGACTTGGATTTAAGTTGCTTTGATTGAAAAATGAAAAGTGTAAAAATAGCACAGTTGTAGCTTAGTTTGCTACATTTCCCAGTGGCTAGCTTTCAGTGTAGTTAAGCTACATTTTACGTAGAGTAGCTAATAGCTTAGCTTACAACATTTTTCAAGTAGCTTGCCCAACACTGGTTATTGCTCACTGAGCAAAGCAACAAACTGCATTTTTGCTAATTAACCTGCCAACACTCAAAGCCTGGGTGCTTCTGCAAGGTGGTAATCTCAAAACTTAAAGCATTACACAAAACTTTTCTAAATCTTCAAACTAAAGTGAAGATTAAACTCTTAACAAGTTTTTTCTATTAACTTTAAACACCTATGATTACTTTTATTCTCAACATTTCCCTCTTTTAATTCAGTCCCATGCAAAGCATGCAGGGAATTACAAACCCCCCTAAGCAGGTAGTTGGACCAACACA